TTTCCAGTGCGAGAGGATGAAAATATTGATTGCGATTTTAATGTTTAAAATATACATTAAATGTCGAAGGTTATTTTGCTGTGTGAGATCAAATGGTATAGAATGCAAAGGAATTGCAAGAGTGAAGTCAGTCCCTTCAGTCTCGTTTGTTTCGAAGGAAAATCGTTATAGATCTTATTCGAATATTCGAGGTTCCTCGAATCACAGCTTTCGTTAGAGACGAGCCCGTCCGGAGAGATCGCAATGGCGTCCGGCAGACGTCGCAGGAATTCTCCCGACCGCCTGGAAGGAGTAGCCATTAGTACGCCGCGAAGGTCCAAGCCGATCGTTTCGTTCTAGCACGGGGGGAGGTTACAGAGTACCGTAATGAACGCGGACAACGTAATTTTTCTGACACCATGACACGATTCCACGCGACACGTATCTCGAGAGTACCTGCGACCGTTTTTACATCGATTCCGACGCGTAGATGCTTGTCCACTGTTCCTACCCTCTAACGTTACGACCACCAATTATAAAAATCAGGGCACGTTTCTTGATCATTTCTCAGAGAAACATCCCCATAGCTTCAATAGCCGAACACGAAACATTTGCAAATGGGCTGAAAGGATCTTGAACTTCGAAAAACTGTTTCAACTGCATATAAGTTTCAATAAATGTTCACTTGGCAGTCAAAGTGTTAATCGACTTACAATTCAGTTTGCGTATTGCTAAATCAATTACTTCAATCGTATCTCAGGGAAACATTTACCTTAATCATTTCAAGAAGGAAATCAGGAATGGTCCATTTCGAACCGTTTAGTTTTAGCGTTAAGGGTTAATCACGGTCGCGGAGGAACTGTTATCGGTTAGAGGAGAACGCGAAAAGCGACGAGACCCGAGTGAGGTCGCGTTATCGCGGTCGAGGGTCGCAACAAACCCGATCGCCGCGATGCCCGATATCGTCATCGACGGGACGCGATGTTCCATTAAACTTGACCGCGTTAAACGGCCAGAAAAGCTCTGCGGCACGGTCGCGTGGGCCGGCTCGCGCTTTAACGAGAACACACGCTCCAGAGAACACGTGCGTGCGGCTCGCGGTTCTGTGCCAAGGCCGAGTGCCCGAGACTGTACGCACGCCAGAACCGTTTCCACCGAAAGGCTTATCGGCGGTGATTACGATTTCGCCGAGCTTGCTCCTTCCCGTGCCGCGTCTCTCGTTTCGTTCGCGGACCCGGACCGAGATCCTTTCACCGGTTAACCCCTTGCACTGCAGTCTTTTTCACAGCTGCGCCTTCATCCAGTAACAAGGCGAGTTATCGAACCCGGAAATTCAACGAATTATGAAACTTCGCGTGTAAATAGAGCGAATCGAGCCTAATACACTGTGATTCCTTATCGTGCCGAATTTCAAAGGCGAAAAGTGATAGAAACCTTCACTTTGAAGGGATGTAATCACCCTTTGAAAAATTTCAAGGGGTTTTCACTAATGCACCGATTGAAAAATCAATTGGAATGTATTAACCGAGGACGAAGATTCTTCGAAGTGTACGAAACCTCCAGCAGATGAAGTTAAATTATATATCGAGTGCTTAAATAATAGACAGAACGGAAATTATACACTGATCTCTTGCTGTTTGAGTAATTGAATCATTTGTTTCACATTCACATTGAATCATTTGTTTCACCTTTCCAAATATGGAAATTTGATCTCGCCGAAATGTCGACATTCGTCCGCAAAGGGTTAAGCTTGGCTCTACTCACACGCATAATAATTCGTTCAGTTTCCGGATTCGTTAACTTCCCTTGTAACTAGATAGCAGTGAGATCCAAGAATCTAAAGAACTAATCATTGTTTCCGTTTATCTTCGTTGCGAGAGAATTAGTTCAAAATTCTCGTAACAGTTCACGCGTTAATGGTTCCTCGAGCATGAACGATTACTAGCTACGTATTTACGGATAAATTTCTGAATAGAATGAATATTTAGGCAGTGCTTCGATATTCTTCAACGAAGATACAGTCGCTCGATTTTCCGTCGACGAATTAAAACTTGATTGCTGAAACGAGCTTTCAACTTCGATATCGAAGCGCGACTTTCCGGGGAATAGCCTGGGGCCATCGGTGAACGGTTCACGCCGTTTTTCCAGGCGCGCAGGACAACCGGAAGTTTTAATTAGTCCTCTAATTCGTCGAAGAAGCCCGTTGGCAGCTGAACGACGGGAACAGGAGGGAATTTCAAAGCGAGAAACTCGCGGAGCGCGGCGAGACCGGCGACGTGACTCGCTCACGGATGCATAGAATTTTTCAATAGTCGCAAAGCGGCGGTTCGCGCGATCGTAACTTATTCAAAGCGCGGCGATTTTGTTTTTTTCTACTGTGTAACGCCCGCTTTGTCGCGTTGAAATTGTTGCGTCGAGTTGGAATCGCGCGGGGAACGAATTCGAGCTTACGGCGTACACCCGCTCGCGATAAAATCATTCGAGCGACGGAAACTTCGTAGCCGTGACCGTCGATTTTCGTATTTTCAAGTTTCGCGTTCAGCTCTTGCGTTTGGTCGCCAATTTTTCGATCGTTCGTGCTAGTTCGATCCTCCAGCTACGGTTACGTTTAAGAATTTATTTGTTTCCGTTTACATTTGACCCCGTGACGTCGTTTGATCCTCTGATTATCTTAGTGAGACGTGTCGTTACATTTTTAGATAGGATATTTAGCGAGTTAAGCGATGATTGTTGCCCGAAAAATCGTTCACGTTGCAATGCGCATGCATCGAGGAAACGATCGAGTGGTCAGAGGACAAGGAAGATACGATTCCGTATTCTAATTCGTGGAATCCACTCGTGTCATCTTTCCCGTGGAAGATCTTCCGCAATTGCGCAAGTGGATCATGTTCTTTTGATCGTTGTTGCGCAATGTGTTTCCTTGTTCGCGAGTGTAAAATTCAGGGAAAAAACGTGACGGGAAAAAGACGCGGTGCATAAGTACCTAATTAAGTTTCAATAATACAACGCGTACTCCTTATTTTATTCGTTTTTTCTGTGTCACCGGATCGACCGATCAAGGATAATGTGACAGGAACATGCTCTATTTATCGGTTAACATAGACGCGATCGTCTTGTAACACAGATCGAACTTTCCGCTGTGAATCCTCGGATCCTTCGAATTCATGATTTTCAATGAAATTTCTGTAATAACTGGACGAAAGGTGAACTTAACTTCTTCTTTCAAGCTCGCACGAATCGAGAGGCGTTTAAATGAAACGATAAAAGATCGGTCGAAGAAGTTCGGCGAGAGGAATCTTCTTTGTACAATCTGAACGCTGCTCATGGTCTGCTCGCGAATAGAATCTCGGTTCCATTTACACTTGTTAATCAATTATCGCGACGGCCTCGCGACTTTTAACTTCCGTGCCTGCCGCGGAACGAGTCCGCGGTCTCAATTTCGAGCACGACCGGCTTCCGCTAATCGGGAATCAACCGATTACCGAGTATCAACCGTAGATACGGCCTCTTCGCGTAGCGTTCGCGCCGGCGCGTTCTATTCGGTCGCGCCAGCGATTCGATCTAGTTATTGCCGCACGTTTCATTCGCTTTCGATCACAACCGAGGATTAGATTGTAACGTACAAAATATCCGATTTCTAGGATTAGCTCGAAACGAACAGAAAATAACTTCGTATATTCGTACGAACAAAATAAACCTCTGCCTCGTTAAATTGCTAAAAGTATTTACCAATTACCCGATAAGTCGATTTATACGTTTGATCATGAAAAGAATACGAAAGTTCGAGTACAGTCACTGTCTAAACTTAATCGCCAATCGTCGCGCTACGTCGAAAAGAGTTCCCCGACTCGTGCAGAACCGGCGCGTAAAGATGGCCGATGGGATAGGCGCGTTCGCGTTAGGTCTGGCCGCGGTTGAATCGCGATCCGCTGGCCGCGCGGATCGATCCCCGTTTTTAGGGTCGCGGAGAGCCGCGGTGGCCTGGTTCTCGTGGAAAAATCCGAGGAAAACTGAAACGCGAAACAAACAGACCTATTGTTCGGCGTTCTCGAAGGAACGGCACGCGAACTTTTAGAATTTTAACGCTGCAACGTCCAGACCCGGCGAAATGAATCCCATCGATGTTTGTGTTCCTCGTCTGAAGCCGGCGAAACGAGTGGTTCCCTTCGAAAAACGAAGAAACGAGAGTGTAACGTTGACAATTGAAGCAGTCCTAACAAACGTGACCATAAAACGCCATACAATATCGGTGGCCGTTCCCGAAGCGGTTATGGAGGACCGAAATAGATTCGTAATTGTTATCAGGTACATCGCGTCCGGTTCCACTTCAATTCAATATCAATTCCATAACTATTACTTCCCGAAATATCCGCAGAAACGAAATGTTTCAATCGAGACCGATATAAAACAGTTCCGAGCGGTGATTTACGGAAGCTTTCCAATCCATCGAACAAACGGTGCAATAAATCAATCGCTCAGAGGTCAGGTTAAGTCGATTTTCTGATACTGATTTTTGTACATTGCATTGGAATAAATAATATCCTTCGTAGTTGATCAAGGATTTACCTGTTTCAAGAAAGCCCTTTGTGTAGCTTCCGAAAATATCGAAGCTGCAGATAGCTTGGAGGACGTAAATTCTCTGAATTTTTCTTTTCTCGACTTAACTGCATCGGCTTCTGGCGACTGAAACGTTCGTAAACCTAGTGTTAAATACGAGCGACGGTCCGCCGACCGTCCCACCGGCGAGGACTCCCTTTTGTTCGGCTCTCCTCCTTCGAATCAGTCGGCCCTCGTTCCGCGAAGCTTTTCCCTCCTCGACGCGGACGCGGAACTCCCTCGGCGGCGCGGCGTTTCCACCCACGCAGCTCCTTGATCGAACAAAGCTGCCGGGACAGAGTTTTTCGCGGTGAAAAGCGGCGCGCGGAGGGGGCGGGAGGGGGCCGATCGTCGCCGGTGCGCCGCAGTCCGTTGAATGCCGGGCCCTTTTATTGTCCTCACTTTCCGGCGTTTTCTTGTTGCAGTACTTGATGAGTGGCTGGGCAAAAGGATACAGCCTCCGGTGCCAACCGGTCGACTACTCGAACAACCCGCTAGCAATACGAATGGCGGCAACGTGTTGGTGGTATTACATCAGCAAGTTCACTGAGTTCTTCGATACCGTGAGTATTCTTCGATGTCGTTCGCGTCTGGTTTCGTTCGTTCGTTCGTTCGTTCGATTGTTCGATTGTTCGATTTCTGCACGGATGCATCGAGACGTGGATGTTTGCTTGGCATTCTTCGTTCGGGAAGCGAGTTTCGAATTTTGCTTGCAATCAAACGGTTCCATTGACAAATCCTACTGTAAACCGGAGGATACTTAGACCTGTTGATGAAAAATTACTGTTTTAATAGAGGATCTCAAGAAATCTGCTTTCCTAATTTTCATAACAAATTACAAGCTCAGTCTCATTGCTCGGTAGTGTTAAATGATTGGAGTATTAGATTCAGTGAGTCAACATTTCGTAGAGATTACATCGTTTTAAATGTAGCTTCCGGAAAGCTCGAAGGATAGACTTCTCGAGAAGTACTCGAAGATCACTCGATTATTTGTATCTTGAAGTTCGGGATCGAAGAACGAAGGAAAACGACGAAGCAGGCGGATAAGGCGCGCAATCGCGAAGCTGGATCTTTCTAGGGTTCAGTTTCGCTAGGAAAATCCCGGCTAATCGAACGAGCGATCAAACGGTTTCATAAATAGCGGCGAACGCGGCGCGCAAGTGTGCCAAGGAGAATCACGCTGGTGTTGTTCTTCCAGCTCTTTTTCATCCTGAGGAAGAAGAATCAGCAGGTGTCGACGCTGCACGTGATCCACCACGGAATAATGCCTTTCTCCGTTTGGATGGGTTTGAAGTTCGCGCCGGGCGGCCATAGCACCTTCTTCGCTCTCTTGAACACTTTCGTTCACATAATCATGTACTTCTACTACATGCTGTCCGCGATGGGCCCTCAGTATCAGAAGTACCTCTGGTGGAAAAAGTACCTGACTACTTTGCAAATGGTGAGCACGGCCGCATTCTTCGGATTCCCATGACGCGCAGATATCGGGCGCTGGGAAGCTGGCACTCTCGTCCGATTGGTCAGCCTCGGTTCTCGTTGTACGATTCGCCGAGGCGCTTACGCACACCAATCGGATCGCGCAACGAATCGCGCGAAGCGATGTCCTATGACATCACGACTGCCAGCTTCCCAGCACTTACAAGCCTGAGGCTAATAAGCTCCCCGCGCATTATGGTATTACACGTTGCTGATACACGCATCGGTGTCACACGATAAACCGGAGAGAATCGATATTAGAGGCAAACTGGAATGATTCACATTCCGTGGAAGCTAACGTCGACGTATCAGCAACGTACTTCTAACGATCAGAATATATAAATGCTTATACAGTAACTGGTTACAGTAACGCGAGAATCCCAGCGAATATTAATCGCAAACTAATGTTCGTCCCGTTTTCCAGGTGCAATTCGTGATGATCATGAGCCACCAGTTCCAGCTGTTGTTCACGGAGTGCAATTACCCGCGCGGCTTCATGATCTGGATCGGTCTGCACGGCGTGCTGTTCCTGGGTCTGTTCTCGGACTTCTACAAGACGAAATACGTGGACAAGATGGCTACGACGAAGAGGCGGAAGCAGAGCTCGCAGAACGGCTCGGCGGGCGGGCTCTGCATGCCGGTGCTAGAGGAGGACTCGACGCCGCGGCAGAACGGCGTCTCGTCTTACGCGACGATCTACAACAAGGAATACAACAGTTGTTACAGCAACGGCACCAACAACGGTTACGTGGCCAACAACAACACGGAGAAGAAGCTCGCTTAGGACAGTATGCGGCGGCGTCTGGTTGTGGGAGACAAGCTCGGGACACCGAATCGATCGCACGATACGCAATATTTAATAAATCCATTTAACGCGGCTCGAACCCTCGGCGGCGGTCGGCGATGATCGCGCGGCAGCGGTTCCGATCGCCGGACGAACGGGGAGGAAACTCTCCTACGTCGACGGCGGTTCGCGGTTCTCTGTGTTCAGGCGCGCGTGTTCGGAAGCCGGCCGCGTCCGGTCCGCGCGAGAGGACCACGACCAGTCGCGCGCATGTTCGATCATCATCGGCTAAAGGAGAAGAAAAATAAAGAAACGCTTCGAGCACACGCTGTTTTTCTCATTCGTCAAATAAAAGAAAAGAAAAGAAAAGAAAATAAAGAAAACCGTCTTTAACCGAGCTGACGCGGGACATTGTGTTCGCGTTCATCGTCCTACCGAATGGGGATTATCGCCGAGAAAAGGGGGTTGTTACACGTAAGAACTCTATTATCGAATAAAATTTAATCATCGTCACCAGCGGGGAAGAAGGGCTCGTCTTGCACACACAAGCATACACTCAAACACACACACACACACACATACACACATACCGATCTTTTGTCTAAAAAAGAAAATAATTACAAAAAAAGAAGAAGAAGAAGAAGACGAGGAAGGAGAGAAGAATGTAATGAAATAAGAATATTGTCGCGTGCGTGCGTGCCTGCGTGTGTTTGTTCGAAATGTCGACCGTTTGTAACATAATACACAGATCATAAAGTAAATAACAGAGAAAGATGATTGGAAAACGAACCACTGAGAGCGTTAATCGCGCCGAGTCCGCAACGGGCTTGCGGACCGTCAACACACACGCGTCGACCGATTCCCGGCGAACGGCGGCCATTGTCTCGCGGAGGCGGCCGGAAACCGGGAACAACCGGCGGAACGACGAGGATGAGCGCGAGGATGTTTCGAACGGCGACCGACCGGCCGGCCGACGAGAATTTAAAACGCGCACACGATCGGCGAGGGACACCCGGTTCGCCGACGATCCACGTCGGACGTCGAGCTCGGGCCCGGTCGGCTCCCGTTCGCATCGTCCGTGTGAACGCGCGCATGTATTAAATATTCTTAGCGATAATATGCGTGAACGAGAGAGCGTGTTGATGATCGTGTTCGTTTGACGGAGGTTCTACCATGACTCGCGATCAGGCGTATTTCTCTCTTGTTGGGTCGCGCCGGAGACGCGAGCCCCCTGGCGTCTTCGCGGAGCGCGGTCACCTGAACACTTTCAGGACTCGGAATCCTAGAAACGGGGCTTCGACGAGGGAACGGGGAATGTCCGATCTCGCGCGCACAGAATAGATTTTTATCACCTCGGACCGTGCGCGCGACCCCCGCGGGAACGGGATCCGCGTTTGTTCGCCGCGCGGGTCGCGCGTCGTTCCACTTCTTTGTAGAAAC